TCTTTTATATTTATATCAAAACTAACTTTTGTTTAAATAAGATTACTTTAAGTAAAATCAATTTAAATATTGATTGCATATATGATTGAATATAATTATAACTGTTGAATCCTTTTGGTTATCCCTGCCAATAGAATGCCAATTATAAAAATCTTGATTAAAACAGCATAGTAAACTTTTAATGGAATAACTATATATTAATTTATGGATTACATTTATTTATTTATTTTCCATTCAAACCTCACCAGCCTATAAACCTAATACTTAAATTTGTGAAACAACCAACTCAGTTGTCTTTGGTATTTTGATTTTTTTCTGATATAAAAGACTCAACTTTACACATATTTTTCTATTTTCTCATTAATAAATTGTATTTCTCAAAAAACATATTCTATTTAACATTAACCTTGACTTATAACTTATAAATATATGGATTTATAGTATAGGCTGAGAATCCATAATCTGATAATGTGAAATCCAAAAAGCTCTAAGATTCTGAAGTGTTTGAGCACCAACCTGATGCCACAAATGGAAATTTCTCACCTGAACTTAAGTGACAAATTTTATTCAAAATGGTGGTGCTCAATACAGAATTTACTCAGCATCGCCAAGGACAGAAAGACTCTCACAACTCCCTTCAGCTGTGATATATCTTCTCTGCACATACCAGACTCCCATATGCAAGCACACACACAAAAAAATGCACATGCACCTTTGGCTGGTGCACAAGCGCACGAGGCACACCATGACAGGTTCCACAGTACCTTACAGGGGGCCAACACATATATACACTGTGTGTTTTTGCTTAGTTTCTTCCCTGTGTTATAAGGATATTGTTGAAAATAACAAAAAGGCCTGTAGATATTCCTAGGAGTAACAGTGATTAAAAAAAGAGGAAGCATTTCTGTTTATCTATAGCATAAAAAGTCAAGGTATTGGAGAAACTGGATGGTGTTGTGAGAAACATCTTACAGAAGAGAACAGTCTTGGAATCACCACTATATATGATCTGAAGAAAGAGAAAGACATATTTTTGAAGGTCTATGCTGAAAGGAACGGAAGTTAATGAAAAATAGAAAACTATGATATAAAGGAACAAATGAAGATATCTATCATGTACTAAAAGAGTAGATCCATCAGCATCACACATAAGACACTTAATGGTATGCTGATCATGTAATAGGCAAAGATCTATCATGCTGAGCTGAAAATAGAAGGGAGCTGTAAATATTCAACAGGCTGGTTGCAGAGAAATTTAACAAAGGACATGTCATTACATTTTTAAAGATGAATGGTGATAAAGTATCTGCTGATCATGAAACAATAGATACATTCATTGAAGAGTGTACCAGGGTTATTGCTGATGAAAATCTGATGTCATAACAAGTTTATAATGCTGCTGGAACATCACTAATTTGTCATTATTGCCTCAAAAAGACACTGACTACAGCCAATGACACACCTTTTACAGGAATTAATGCCAAGGACAGATTAATTGTTCTGGGATGTGCTAACACAGCAGGTATGCATAGGGGTAAACTTGCTGTGGTGCACAATGGCATGCATCCTCACTGTTTGTGAGAAGTGACTTTCTTACCAGTTCATTATTATTTTAACAAAAAGGCAAGCATCACCAGAAATATATTTTCTAACTAGTCTCATAAACATTTTGTATCTGTGGCTCATGCTTACTGTAGGAAAGCAAAACTGAATGACAGCTATAAAATTTTATTATTACTTGACAACTATTCTGCCAATCTCTCAGCTAAAACTCTGTGAATAATTAAAAAAAAATTTATGTTATGTATATTCCCCCAAATGTGGCTTTATTAATTTATCCATGTGACCAAAGTATCTGAGATTAGTGAAGAGTAAATATATAAATAATTTATTGAACAGCATGCTAGGAGCAGTGAACAGAGGTGTGCGTATGGAAGGTTTTCAATGGAGTTTAGCATAAAGGATGGCCATATGTGTTGTTGCAGATGATACAGACACAATTGTGCATATCTGGCACAATCTCTGGCCTGTAACTATGTTCAGTTTTTACCATAATTAAAGTGGTGATTTTGAAAGATTCTGTATGTCACTGTATGTCAAGTGAGGGGGAAAATGATGCTTGACTTCCCTATATATGCCAAAAATATACCTTCAGAGTCCATCTGTAAGGTGGAAGAAATGGATATTCAAGATGTTTTTAACATTAATAATTAGGCTACAGTTGTTTATTCATTGACTTACAGTGAAATAGCAGAAATGGTTCTAAAACAAGGTGATCATGTTAATAGTGACAAGAAAGATGACTGTGTTAACAGTGTAGAAAGAGTGTCTATACATTGAGAAAATGTGTGATGGGCTTTTTGGAGGACTAGAGCAGCATGCATTTATAACAGAACAAGAAATCATGTCAGTCTATTAAAGCAAAGGGAAACTTCTAAGATAAAAATCATTCTTAATGAGGATGATAAGTATCAAGAAAACATTTAAAAATTTGCAGGTGGGACCTAATTAAACTAAAGAGCTTCTGAATGTCAAGTTACCAAGAGAGTAAACAGCCTACAGAATGGGAGAAAATATTCTCAAACTTTGCATCTGAAAAAAGTCTAATATCCAGAATTTCAAGGAACTTAAATCAACTAAAAACAAAAACTTCAATTAAAAAAATGGGCAAAGGACTTGAACAGACACTTCTCAAAACAAGATGTACAAGTGGCCCACAAACATATGAAAAAATGTTCCGCATCACTAATCATCAGAAAAATGCAAATCAAAACTATAATATAATACCATCTTATATGAGTCAGAATGTGATTATTAAAAAGTCAGAAAACAACACATGTTGGCAAGGCTGCAGAGAAAAAAAAATGCTTACACACTTCTGGTTGGAATGCAAACTAGCTTAACTGTGGAAAGCAGTCTGGAGATTTTTCAAAGGACTTAAAACTACTACTTAATCCAGAAATCCCACTAATAAGTATATATGCAAATGAAAATAATTAAGTCTACCAAAAAACGCTGCACCTGTATGTTCATTGCAACACTATTCCCAATAGCAAAGACATGGAATAAACCTAGGTGCCATCAACAGTGAACTGGAAAAGAAATGTGATAGATATATGTCATGGAATACCATGCAGCCATTAAAAAGAACAAGATAATATCCTTTGCAGCAACATGAATGGAGCTGGAGACCAATATTCTGAGACACTTAATGCAAGAACAGAAAACCAAATATCACACGTTCTCACTTGTAATTGAGAACTAAACACTAAATGTACATGAATCTAAAGATGGGAACAATAGATACTCGGGACCAGTAGATGGAAGAGAAAGGGAGCAGGGACATAGGCTGAAGAGCCACCAGTTGGGTACTATGCTCACTGCCTTGAAGATGATATTGTAGGAACCCCAAGCCAAAGCATCATGCAATTTACCCATGTACCAAATCTGCATGTGTATGCTTAAATCTGTTATAAAAGTTGAAGTTGGCTGGGCACAGTGGCTCATGCCTGTAATCCCAGAACTTTGGGAGGCTGAGGCAGGTGGATCACCAGAGGTCAGGAGTTCAAGACCAGCCTAGCCAACATGGTGAAACCCCATCTTTACAAAAATACCAAAAAAAAAAAATTAGCTAGGCATGTTGTCACATGCCTGTAATCCCAGCTACTTGGGAGGATGAGGCAGGAAAACTCCTTGAACTCAGAAAGTGGAGGTTGCAGTGAGCTGAGACCATGCCATTGCACTCCAGCCTGGGTAACAAGAGCAAAACTCTGTCCTCCCCACCCCCCAAAAATAAAAAAATAACATCGAAAATTCAAAACACTTCTTTTCCAAGCATTTTAGATAAGGTATAATCAACTTGTATATAGTACCTCTCTTATACCTTTGCCTTGGGTCTGTTTGGGGCAGGCCTATCATTCTTCCAAGCATATTAAGGTGAAAGCACAGAAGTGGGAGTGAAGTTTTTCATTAATCTTAACTCTACTGCATTGTGTGTGTGTGTGTGTATCAGTCATAGTGGGATCTGTCAGAGATGACAGTAATGGGAAGACATGACAGATTCTAAATGAATTAAATAGCATAGTTAGAAAAACAAAAACCATAAGAAACACATTTTAACAAATCATATTAACCAGGCTGTTTGATAAATTGGTTATATAACGCCAGAATTAACATTGTATTGATTGCTACTCATTTTTCGGATAGTTATATTTTCAGATATAACTTTGCGTCATTTCAAAAATGCCAAGAAATATAATTATAATCCCAGAGCAATTTGATCTTGAGAGAAAGAGGACTATTTAGACATAATGTTTAATGTTTTGTAAAGCTATATTTCATTTCTTCTCCCAAATATTAGACTTTTTAAATCACATAGAATAGAATCAATTACATCTATATGCCACCTCAGCAATTTCTGTGCATTTGAAACATTAGAAATATAGGAGACATGTTGAGTATAATTTATTCAGTCAGACAGAATATTTTATGCCACCCAGGAATGACAGTATCCATAAAACAAAACAACAACAACCAGAAATAAATAAATAAAAGGTAAATGCATAGTTACTTATCATTCTCTCTACCAATGGAGTCCCATCTGCTTCCAGTGATAGTGAAATGCTATAATCAATGTTTCTTTTCATTCACTTTCAACGTCACCAGTCTTTCCCAGAATGTTTATAAATCTGTCTTTCATTTCTCAATTCGACTTTGGTGTGATTTTCGATATGTGTGAGGCACATTTTGCCAACATTTACTAAGTAGTTTAGCAACTCACTAAAATTTAATTAGGAAGGTTAATATTCAACATGGGTTTAAACCAGTAGTCCCCAACCCCTTTGGCACCAGGGACAAGTTTTGTGAAAGACAAATTTTCCATGGGCCAGGGTAAAGGGGGTAGATGATTTGGGGATGATTCAAGCACATTACATTTATTGTACACTTTATTGCTATCATTATTACATTATAATATACAATGAAATGATTATACAACTCACCATAATGTGGAATCAGTGGGAGCCCTGAGCTTGTTTTTCTTCAACTAGATGGTCACATCTGGGGTTGATGAGAAACAGTGACAGATCATCAGGCATTAGACTATCCTAAAAAGTGCACAACCTAGATCCCTTGCATGCACAGCTCACAATAGGGTTCATGCTCCTAGGAGAATCTAATGCTGCTGCTGATCCACAGGAGGTGGAACTCAGTAACGCAAGCGATGGGGAGTGGCTGTAAATATGCATGGCCTGGTTTCTAATAAGCTGTTCAGTGGTCTGGGGATTGGGGACTCTTGGTTTAAACCACTTCAGAAATTACAAATAGGCCCTACTGCTTTTAACCAATTTAAGTTTTGACTGCTTTTAGACCATCTAACCCAAAATAATACAAGAGCCTTTCCCCAGATAAACACTGTTTCTCCACCAAATAATTTCAATATTCTTACTATAAGAAGCAGCAACATTTGATTATAATCACACATACACTATGGGAATGATATGCTCAATGCAAGGAGTGTTTAATATTACTTGGTTCTAATTCAAAAATTAAATACTACAACCAAGAAAGGGATACTGTTGCGTTGTGTGATACATTATCATGCTGAATGCATTTATGGAATATACTCTCATGATAACTTAGTTTTTGTGTTCTCATAATTGGCCATATTTTGAGAAGTTTTTACAAATAGAGGAGGTTAGAGAGCACTCATTTAGGTTTCCAAAGGAGAAGCAATGCTCTAATCTAATCAGCAATACTTTTACAGTTGTTCCCAATTGTCTGAAAAAATGTTACTAATAAAATTAACTTTGCTAATTGTACATTTTAATACATGGAGATCTATTTAGTCATGAATAAAAATCATTCTATGACCATCTCAACTCTGATTTCTCTGTTGTCACCAAACTAGAGAACCATGTGGAAAATGACAGTATTTCTTAATTTAATTTAATTATTTTGTGGTATCATCACTTTTAAAATTCACAATATCAACAGAATCTATTTTTTACTGTAAATTTAGGAGAAGAAATATTTATTCTCAAGAAATGCTCCAGGTTAAACATTTAAATATTAATGTGGGGAGGGGTATGAGGTAGTGGGAAGGGGTTGACTACATTTCATGAATACTTAACTTTAATTTTATCTGGCATCCTTGAGAAGTTCAAATGACTTATTCATTTAAAAATGACAATAAAGAAATATTTTTAAAGTTGTTCTAACCTGCATTGAGTTGCAAGTAGTACACTGTTTTATTTTAAATACACATATCTAGAAGAAATTTGCTTTTCCAAATCTAGTTTTTCATTGAATATTACATCATTTCCTTACCTTTTATCATCACACACAACTAATTTGATTAATTAATCAAAGGAAAATATTTTAGGATGGGAAACTTAAGAGTTAATTATTTTACAGAAGTTGAATAAGTAAAGTGATCTTTGTAAAGGGCAAATATAAGAGAATAAAAAAAGTTACTGTGTCTCAACCATCAATTAGAAAATTGTGTGAAATTGGTTCAATTATTATCATCTACTTAGTGTAGACAGAATGTTATAGCCATTCTTTTATCTATGCATTCAATAAACATTGAAGAAACATCAACTTTGTCCTTGGCACTCTCCTAAAAATACTAGGATTAAACAAAGCTCTTGTTTTCATGGAGCTTAGAGCTGTCTCAGAGAAACATCCAAACTATGTTAAATCATGTTTGGGACAAATACAACAAGGAGAAAATAGATGGCAAAGTGAATGCACGTAACATAGGTCCTTATCTAACTTAGGTGAATAGAAATTATGTTCTTAAGGGAGAAATCTGAAACACATATTTGAAGGTTAATTAGTAATTTTCAAAAGACTGTTAAAGCAAGAATGAATAATACATGTTGAAATCCTTAGGTGGAAGAAACAAGGCATTCAGATACTGAAAGATGAACACAGAAACTAGAGACCCGTGAGTAAAAAAGAAAGACATCTAACATCATGCTGAAAGGATAGATAAGTGACATTTCATTCAGAGCCAAGAAGACCACAGTAATGGGTTTTGATTTAAAAGCATTGGGAAGCTATTAAAGGGGATTAAATGTTCAGGTTGTAAAATGGTTGGGTTTATGTGATTAAAAACTTAGTGCTGAGAAACAGTTTCCTGTTCCACGTGTAGGAGGCTTGAAAGTTGCCGCTCTGTCCTAATAGCAAGTAAAAAGTGAAACAGACTAGAAAATTAACAACTTTTCTTGGATCTGTAAGAGAGGGGAGGACACAGGGCAAACTGCAACCCTAAAGATGGGAGAGACAGACAAGGAAGTACAGGTATTCAGGGCTTCACAGAGCAAAGACTCAGGAATAGAAACTTTCATGGGAAGGAGTACTTGAGTAAAATACCCTGAGCTCTAATTGATGAGTGCTGAAGGCCCTGTGTGGACATATTTGAGAGTTAAACATTTCAGGAGGACTCAGTCACACACCACCACCAACTACCCTTATAAGTTTTATCTCTAGAAGTTCTACCAGGTTCTCACAGTGAAGATCAGAAAAGAAAAAGAAAGAAAAGGAAAAGAAAATATGCCAGTGTTCTCTGTTTTTCCTAACAAGGCCTGCTCTCAGGGAAAACTAGAGCAGGTTAATCCTATTGAATATGGTTTGGCTCTTTGTCGCCACCCAAATCTCATCTTGAATTGCAAATCCCACGTGTCCAGAAAGGGAAGTGATTGGATCATGGGGTTTGTTTTCCCCATGCTGTTCTAATGATAGTGAGGGAGTTCTCAGGAGGGCTGATGGTTTTAAAGTGTGGTAATTCCTTGTTCTCACACACTCTCCCTCCTACTGCCTTCCGAAAAGGTGCCTGCTTCCCTTTTGTCTTCTGTCATGATTGTAAATTTCCTGAGGCCTCCTAGACATGCTTTCCATTAAGCTTGAGGAACTGTGAGTCAATTAAACCTCTTTCCTTTGTAATTACCCAGTCTTGGGTAGTATTCTTTATAGCAGCGTGAGAACACACTAATACACCAGCCTAACCTTCTGGCATATTATCAGGGCCTAATTGTCCCATGGGAAAGTAAATAAACAACTCTAGCTCACTCTAGCCTTCCACAGGAAAGAAGAAAAATACTCAGTTTCAGCCCACTCTAGCCATCCAGTCCCACCTAAGAGGGTAGGAAAACTGAGAAGTACTTGTGAAGTTTACAGTTCAGAGGTGTTAGCTCAGTAAAAGACTGACACCTAATTATAGGACTATAGAACACCTACCTTGACCTCAACACCTTACCACCATATTGCTAAAGACCTATGTCCAGCTACCAAGAAAAATTTACAAAGCATGTTGAAAGGCAATAAACATAATTTAAAGAGAAAGAACAAGCCTCAGAACAAAATATGGCAGGTATGTTGGAATTATCAGACCAGGAATTTAAAACAACCATAATTACCGTGCTAAGGTTCTAGTAGATAGCAGGCAATAACATATGGACAATGTAAGCAGAAAAATGGAAATCCTAAGGAAAAAGCACAAAGAAATGCTAGAGATCAAAAACACTGTAACATAAGTAATGAATGCCTTTGAGGAGCTTTTTAGTGTACTGTATATGGCTTAAAAAAAAAATCTATGAAGTTTAAGATAGGACAATAAGAGTCTCCAAAACTAAAGAAAAAAGAACAAAGACATAAAAACATTATAAAAGAATATCCAAGAATTACAGGATAACTATAAAAAGTAAAACTTACACATAATTGGAACATCAGAAGAAAGAAACAGAAAAAAAATTGAAATAACAAATGAGAAATTCCCTAAATTTTTGTCAGACACAAAACCATAGACATAGAAAGCTCAGATGATGCCAAATAGCATTTAAAAAAAAAACCACTACACTGAAGCGTATCATTTTCAAATGAAAGAAAATAAAAAATAAAATAAAACAATTTATTGTAAGCCAGAGAAAAAAATACCTTACCTGCAGAGGAACAAAGATAAAAATTACATTCGACATCTCCTGAGAAAGCATGCAAGCAAGAAGACAATGTTCTGAAATATTTAAAGTTTTAAAATCAAAACAAACAAAAACCCAGATTTATGTACCATGCAAAATTATCCTGCAAAGTGACAGAGAAATAAAGACTTTCCCAAGCAAACAAAAATTGGAAGAGTTCATTGCTGGTACACCTGCATTTCATGAAATGTTCAAAGTTTTTTGTGAGAAGAAAAATAATACCGGTCAGAAGCTTTGACCTACATTACAAAAGGAAGAGCACTGAAGAATAAATAAATAAAGTTAAAATAAAGACTTGTTTCTTATTTTAATTGATCTAACAGCTGTGATGTATTTAAAATAATAGCAAAACTGTATTTAATTATATATGCTTATGCATATATCTTACGTGTGTGTATGTAAGTTAAATGAATGACACCAATAATACAAGGTATGAAAGAGAGGATTTAGGATCATTTTGTTATTCTAAGGCACCACTAGAATAATAGAAAATGCTCAATTAAATAATACAAAATGCTCAATTAAATAATAATACATAATACAAATAATAATACAAAATGCTTAATTAAATAATACATAATACAAATAATAATACAAAATGCTCAATTAAAAACAAAAGCAATTAAAGAATAAAAGAAAAAATAGGAACAAAGATGAGGGCAACAAACAGAAAATCGTGATAAATATGATAGATATTAATATAAACACATCAGTAACCACTTTCAACATCAATGGTCTAAATGAATTAAAAACTCAAAAGCAATTAAAGAATAAAAGAAAAAAATAGGAACTAGGAACAAAGATGAGGGCAACAAACAGAAAATAGTGATAAATATTATAGATATTAATATAAACACATCAGTAACCACTTTCAACATCAATGGTCTAAATGCACCAATTAAATGGCAAAGATTGTCAGAGTGGATCAAAAAACAAGACAGCTATATGTTGTCTATAAGAAACCCACTTTAAAGGCACATATAGATTAAAAGTAAATGTATAAAGAAAAATATACTATGTAAATGCTAACCAAAAGAAAGTAGAAATAGCTATATTAATTTTACATATAGTAGACTTGAA